CTCAGGAGATCAGCCTGAGCAGCTTAGCAAGACCTTGTCTCAAAATAAAAAATAAAAAGGGCTGGGTTGCCTAGCATGCATGAGCTCTAGGTTCAATTCCCAGCACTGTTACTGGAATACTAGGCCAGAGGCCTGACTCTGTAGGATCCAACAAACTAGGTTGGACCCAAACCAGGTTGGGCCACCCAAACACCAAAAAGAAAAGGTAATGGTGAAAAGCAGGAAAGGAACTTTAATTACTATGGTCATACTGGGAAGGGAAAGATAGATCAAGCATCTCAGTCCTATCTTCTGGGTGCTGACATGACCTTTTAGGTTTCAGTAGAAGAAAAACTTGGGCAGGGAATGAGAAGTATGTATAATTAAGCAGTTTCGATCAAATTATGGTATGGTTAATCGTTATCTCATTTCTGGTTCCATGGTGGCTCTAGAGATGTCCTTATTACTTGAGTGGTCAAGCTCCATTTGCTGCTCAGGGTTTTTACCTGTCAGACCTGTCATACTGGAAAATTATTGGGTTCCCGGAAGATGACTGCACCTGCTTAGCAGGGGAGTCTCATTGTGGGATGATGTACTTGCAAGGCTCTGCTGTTCCTGGAAAGTGTCTAGAGACTTCTAGGTGTCATTCCTGGGGTCTAAAACAGGCTATTGTAAATGTCCCTACAAAATCTTGCCTCAGCCTTGATGGGATAAGCTAGATTAGGTATATTTAAGGCTAAAAAAAAAAAAAAAAAACCTGTCTTACCAGTTTGTAGATGAAAACTCCTTAAATGATTAAAATGTCTATGTGCAGAGCTGAGCAGGTCACAAAGTTTAAGGGTGACAGAAAAGGAAGGCAGAGATGCCATGCTTTATCCTGCTTTTAGTTACCCATTGGGTATCTGCAGACCTAAAGGACATTGCTTTCAATAAAGGCAGCCTCTTTAATTTCCTGTTACAGTACCACAAAAAGCAAAACAAAAGAACAGCCAAATGAGAGAGTCTGAGGGAATTTCCTGTAAGTTCAAAGTTTGACTATGTGTTAATTATTTGACTAGTAATTTCTTTCTTTTTCTTCTTTTAGAATCTTACATAGGTCTTAGTTGAGACGTAAATGATAGTGAAATGACAACTACCTATGATTAAATAACATAAAGGTTAGTGAAATTAATTTTCCCATGACAATATAAATGGTAAAATTCAAATTAAAGTGCCATAATGAAAAGAAGAAACAAAGATTCACCAATGAGCCGAAGGGAAAATAATATAGTAAGTTTGTAGGAAAAAAAAAATTAAGAAATCCAAATCCAATTGAGCAGTAATATACTTAAAAGATTCTGCATACCTCTGGGGACAGAATATTCCTTATTCATCTGTGTATGTCTGTGTAGTCAGCTACACAAAAGCTGACTAAAACAGTTGCGGAGGCTGGCCTCGAACTTGCAGTGAATTTGTAAATAGTTCAAATAAAGGAGAAATAAAAAAAGTTTCTTCATATTTGGAGGGGATAACTAACAGAAAATGTCACTATAAATGCCAAGTGTAATTAAAACTAGAGCATAAAACCTGGTGGAGGAATATGGAAAACCAGGCTACATAGAAAAAGAACTGGACAATTGTTTCTTGAAATAGGTAGGTTTTCAGTTGTCCAAGGCTGTCATACTTCAGCTACAGACAGTGAGTCCTAAGTTGGGATGATAATTAGAGATATCTGTTTCTTTCCTTTTTTTTTTTTGAGACAGGGTTTTGCTAAGTTGTTGAGGCTGGCTTCTAACGTGATCCTCCTATTGCTGGAATTATAGGCATGCACCACTGTGCATGGCCCTATGTTACAATTTGACACACATCAAAAATTTCCCTTCTGTTTATGTGGCAGGTATTAATTTCAATTTTGCCCCATTGAACAGACTTGGCGTCAGCATTTCCATTCGCCCTGCACATCAAACCATGTAAGGTGACAAAAGAACTACCATATTTGGCACTCATGGCATTGTAATCACAAATGTACAAAATACCACTTATAAGGGTTTGTAAAAGATTGGAGAGATGTCTTAAAAAAGGATCATCATCTCACAAAGTCAAAATGAATGAGTCAATTTCAGGTTAACTTTGCTCTTTAGAAGCGATGATTCTCAACACTTTCTAGTACTTCAGAATCACTTGGAGAGCTTGTTGTTGGGCCCTATCGCCAGAGTGTCTGATTCAGTAGGTCTGGGGTTGGGCCTGAGAATTTGCATCTCAAACAGTTTGAGATCCATCAAACCAAAAAATATTGAAACAAATCCTAAATATGTAAAACTGAAAATCCTTTGAGATACAAAATAGGATATCATAATTAGCATAACTCTATGGGGAGAAATATGAACCCAGTCTAGTTTGCAGAGAGTAGAACAAAAACATTGAAGCTAAATAGAACTAGGTTTGATCTCTGGTTCTGTTAATTACAGGTTCATGATTTTTACTCACCAGCCAAATGCAGGTAAGAAAAATATCCCATAGGATAATTGTGAGAACTAAATACACACACACACACACACACATATATATGTACACACACACACACACACAAGCCCAATGCCTGCTATATGGCAAGTATTCATTCAATTCTTCATCCTTTTCTTTGTCCCTAGCAGTCATGGAACTTTTTTTTTTTTTTTTTTTTTGGTACTAGGGATTGAACCCTGGGGTGCTTAACCACAGAACCAGCCCTTTTTTATATTTTATTTAGAGACAGGGCCTCCTTGAGTTGCTTAAGGCCTCACTAAGTTGCTGAGGCTGGCTTTGAAATCACAATCTTTCTGTCTCAACCTCCCAAACCACTGGGATTACAGGCCACAGCGCTTGGCCTAGCAGTTATGGAACTTTAACAAGACAGTGAAGTAATACTTTCATAGAGGTGATAGGAAATGTTAAGGGAGGAAATATCTTTTCCTTCTATCTTTCTAGGTTCCTACTGGGGTCCTTGTAACAAAAGGCAGACTAACAAAAGAAAGGGATATACATTTATTTAATGCAAATTCATAAAAAAAATGAAGACCTGAAGAAAGAATGAAACATGAGTGTTTTACATTAGGTTTGAGGAAGAGTAAAGAGTTGTGGAAAAACGTGAGAAAACAAAAAGGGGCAACTAGCAAGTCCTGTTCACCTAGACTTCTCTCAGCATTCCTGTCTTCAGAGCTGAAGATGCATTTTTTTTTCCTAGATGAAGAGAGGTCAACTCTGACATGAGGGTCTTTTGGACCACTTCAGGGAAAAGTCAGAGAGTCCTTCCTACACCTGCCATTTCTCAAATTCCTTTGGCTTAAAATATTCAATACACCAAAGTGTTATTGGTGTACATGCTATCTGGTATAGTATGTCCTGAACACTGGCATAAACATGCTAGAAAAATACTATTGTGAATTACAGGACAACTGGAAGCAGCTTAGGTGCTAAAAACTGTGCGGAAGATCTATGAAAATACAGTCCCAATCCTCCTCTTCAGGAGAGTGCTTTCAGCGCTTAACTCCACATACCTATGGCTTCTCAAACCTGGGAAGATACATTCCAGGGCACAAAGTCCATAGCCTAGTTATTCTCTTACTCTCATAATGGCAGCCTTTAATCCAAATTCAAAGGACCCTGGGTAGTGTTGAAGCTTTCAATTGTGTAATCTCCTTGATGAAGCAGAGTGTGATCTTTTTTTTTGCTCAAATGAGGCTTAGATTTCTGTGGAAAGCTGGAAAGGCTATGGAATATAGGTATATGGAGAATAATGTAGTAGAAAAACCTAGAACTAAAAAGTATAAATACAGCCACTAAAATCCTATTTGTGGTTTTTCTGGTCCATTGAAGTATGCAACATCATTAACTAGTCATAACAAAAGGAAAGCTTTGTATTACCCAGGGACTAAAACACACTTTATGTTTTGCATAATCTTGAGGTAAATTAGACTTCTCATCAGTCCAGATACATCGTCTCACTAGATTCCATTCTGAATGGAATCTTTCTTAGCAATTTCATTTTCAGGACAGAATGATAGTGGCCTCCTGAGGATTCCAAGATGCCAAAATGACTTTGGTAAGGTAGTCCCGGCTTGCCAGTTTGCATGCTGGATAGACCAGAGCAATTCAAAGATTTCACTAATATAGACAAAGCAAGCTTCTGAGTGCCGCAGCTTCCCTGAATATCAACAGGATCAGCCAATCCTTGGCAAACATAAATACATAAATAAGTAAATAAGTAAATAAATGGAAGTTTTGTCTTTCAGCTGTCCTTTACTCTTTTTGCCTTCCTCTTCCCTAGATACTTTACAGTCACCGTGGAAAGTTTTGAATAATAAAATTCTTACGGAGAGTCTTGTTTATCATAAAGAAATGCTTCCTTTTTCTTTGCCAAGGAATTATACATTACCAACAGACATAGATCTTGAATGCTGTATTTTTATTTGGAATGAAGGAGGGAAAAAAATAAAAAATAAAAAAACAAGAGGCTGGAGTTGTGGCTCCGTGGTAGAGTGGTTGTCTAGCATGCGTGAGGCACTGGGTTCGATCCCCAGCACCACATAAATATAAAATAAAGATATTGTGTCCACCTAAAACTAAAAAATAAATATTTAAAATAATAATAATAAAAAACAAAAATAAAATAATAATAATAATAAAAACAAAACCGAAGCCAAGATTCCTCTTTGGAGGGCAGGGTGTGTCCGTTGGGTTTGGCGTTGCTCAAAAAGCTCAGGACATCAATCTGCAGCTTCGAATACCACTGCTGGGCTCTGCCCGACCCAGGCCCGCCGCCGCGGCCGCTCCAGCCTCAGCTCCAGGTGGAACCGAGCCCCAGTCCCCAGCCCCCAGCCCCCAGGCTCTAGCCTCTCAAGGAAGCAGCCTCGCCCCGGCCGGCCCCGCAACCCCAGACTCGCCCGGCTCCCGCCTGCAGGGGTCGCTGCGGCGGCGCGAGGCCCGCGCGTGCGGGGATTGGCCTTAGGTGGGAGTCCCGCCGCGCGGCGCAGGACGAGGCTGGGCCCTGCTGGCCAGGATCCCGGCGCCCAGCGGCGGTCAAGCGGCGGCGCTGGGCTCCGCGGTGGAGCTTGGGCAATCCAGTCGCGGTCCCGGGTGACTCCCTTGGTGACGCCGGGCGCGTTCCTTCCTCTTCCTCTAGCCTCTCCGGCCCCGCCTTCCCTTCCCTCCGCCCACCTCCCCTAAGCGGAGCCGCCGCCGCCAGCAGCGCCGTCATGTCGGCCCCCGCCGGGTCTCCTCACCCGGCCGCCAGCGCCCGGATCCCGCCCAAGTTCGCCGGAGCCGCCGCCTCGGGAGCCGCCGCGCCCTCAGGCCCCGGCCCGGCGCCGCACCACCAGAACGGTGAGCCGGGTGGCCCAGGCGGAGAGCGGGGCCTAGCGCCGGCGGGGCGGCCTGCGCGGCGCGCCGGGAGGGGTCGGGGCCAGGCGCTGGGCTGGGGGTACCGCGCGGGGACCTGGCCGCCGCGGGAGTGGTGGGGGTCGGGGGTAGAGGTGGGGACGCGGGGGGAGGGGCGCCCTGGCGTGGGGTTGGGGGTCCGCCTGGGAAAGCCGGGGCCGGGTGTTTATGTAATGTGACCCCAGGCTCTAAAGCGCCGCGGGGGAGTCGGCGCCCTGGGAAAGGGGCAGTCCACGTACCGAGTGAACCCGGGCTACCCAGCCTGGGCGCGGGCGAGTTGGCCTGAGCGACCCCTTGGCTGGGAGAGACGTTGAGCAGCCCAGGCCGCAGAGTGCGTGGTCTGTGGAAGGCTGATGCAGTCATCAAGCCGGGTGGATTGTACCCTTCCTGTCTCAGGAAAATCGCTTTGATTTCCGAGTCCCAAGGAGCGGGCTGCCTTGAAGAGAACTTAAGTTTGCACCCAAGTTTGTAGACAAAAGGGCGTAAATATGCTATATAAGTGTAACAGTAACCCTGACCCAGTTTGGCCTCAAGATCTGTCATTGATGTTGCTTCTGCTGCTTAAGCTTTTGGAGTTTACTTGTGGTGTTTGAAAGAGAGCAGGTGTCAAACGGATCTAAACGAATATTTTTCGGTCTGTCTTTTGATTTTTTTTTTTTTTTTAATTCTAGCTCCACTTTCAGAAATAGGAAAAAAAAAACGTGCCAGAGTTGGTTGGTCCTGCTTTGAGGCAAGGCCTTCATAGGGGAGCAGCCTGTACAGCATGAAAGCCGCTTTCATACTAAGATCATAGGCTTTGAATATGCAGGAATTTCAGCTGAAAAATCATAATTTCTAGGAAATCTGTTCCCTAATCTTGAGATTTGGAGTGTTCGAGGTTAGGAGTGGGGGAGGGGGGACTTTATAGATTTGATAGTATGTCAGATGAGAACCTTGAAAGTAATTGACTGCATTGGACAAATATGTGTGCTCTGTGTTGGTAAGAGAACAAAGCTACATCAGTAGTCATCAAGTGATGACTTTATTTAATTTGCTAAAGAAAATTTACTAGACCTTATTTTCAGTTTAGCGAACATCAAAGTTTTAAAACTGATGCTTTACAAACATCAGATTTATCCATCCTGAGAACCGGAGGTTGAATTTTTCATAATCAAAAGTGATGGTTTAGTGTTAATGTTTTTCAGATCATTCATAATTGTCAAGATTACATGTTTTACTTTCAGTAGTTATTGTTTACTGTAAAGGGATTTGTGAACAATGTCGTAGTACATTTGTTCTGAATGTATATAAAAATATTATGTATAAGCAGTTCTTGTTCTTGCAACCTTAATATAAATTTTTTTTTCCCTAAAGTCGACTTTGCTTGTGAAGAAACTAGAACAGGATATTTAGGAATAGTCCCAAGTCTTTTAGAACATTGTAAATGCAAGTTTAATAGTGATTCAAGGATTGTGTCCTTCCTTGATTTTGAATATACGTTATCATTTTGAATGAACAATTTTTAAAAGTGGCAAATATTTATTGTAGCCTTATAAATTTTATGAACACTCAGATGCCAAAGTATTTACTCAGCCAAATAGGATGTTAAATTTTTAAGAACAAATCAATGTTTTGATGCCAAATATAGCTTGATGCTTGCTTTCTACATTTTATGATCTTTGCTTTCCTTTGAAGTTGCAACAATCATTTCAGTATTTGTTGTGTGCTTATTATTTAGGTACTCAAGGTTAGGGCACAAGATAAGACAGAATCCCTCTTCTTTCCTAACTTGACCTGTATTTTGGTGACATTCAAATGGTGTAGTACATTTGTTCTGAATGCACATTTGTTCTGACTGGCCTTGAGAGATTTGACAGGAGGGAATGGCTGTCTCTAGGTAGAGGTTAGAGCTTGAACAAAAGTCTGGAAGTGGACACTTAGAAAGTGTAGGCCATATTTAGAAAATGAAAGCCACAGAGGGGAGAAAGGGAGAGGGTTGGTAAGGAAAGCAAAGTATAGAAGCTGAAAGGAGTGGTTCAAAGAGGCCAGGTCACAGAGAGGCCTTAGGTTAAGAAATTTGGAATACAGGACTATTGTCAGACTTTTTTTGTTTTGTTTGTTTGTTTGTTTTTATAATGGGGATTGAGCCCAGGGGCAATTAACCTCTGAGCCACATTCCCAGTACTTTTTATTGAGACATGTTCTATTTAATAATCCTCCTGCCTCAACCACTTAAATCACTGGGATTACAGGTGGGTGCCACCATGCCTGGCTTTTTGGTTTTTGTTGAAGGGGTTAGTTTAAGTAGAGAAGCAACAAGATCAAGTCTGTTTTTTGTTTTGTTTGCTAATTTTAGGAAGAGAAAATGGGTAAAATTTATGCAGTCATTTGGGTTTCTTTCTTTCTTTATTTTTTTATTGGGGGTGGGGAGGCAGTACTGGAGATTGAACCCAAGCATGCTCAATGACTGAGCCACATCCCCAGCCTTCGCTTTTGTTTTTTTAAATTTTGAGACAGTGTTCTTACTAAGTTGCTTAGAGGTCTCCCTAAATTGCTGAGGCTGGACTTGAACTTGCAGTCCTTTTGACTCAGTCTCCCCAGTCACTGGGATTATAGATGTGTGCCAATGTGCCCATCAGTTTATTGTTCAATCCTATATCAACTTCTTTGCCTTTTAATATATCTCTGTGGAATTCCAGACATGGTGATAAAGAAATAGGTCAGAAGTCTGAGTTGAAAACATCATGTAAGACAGAATGAGATAATTTATTTCAAATACTTGGTATAATATGAAATATATTTTCTCTCTGTCTCTGCTTCTTGTCATGAGCTAAAGCCCTTGAATTTTCTGAGCAATAGGAGTATCTTTTGTTTCTCACAGTGAATACATTGGTCATACCTAATAAAGTGATTTAGGGTGAAGCCCCAGATAGCTTCCGGGTGGGACTGGTTACTAGAAAAACTAAGTGATTAGAGTGTTGGAATTTTTTTTCTTCTTTTTTTTAGTTGTTGATAGACCCTTGTTTTATTTATTTGTATGCGGTGCTGAGAATTGAACTCAGTGCCTCACACATGCCAGGCAAGTGCTCTATACCCTTGAGCCCCAGCCCCAGCCCCAAGGGTTGGAATTTTTGGTCCCTACCCACCAACCCTGGGAGAGTAGGGGCTGGGATGCTGGCTGGAGATGAAGTTGTATAGAAACTTAATAAGATTTGATGAGCTCTGTTGCTGAAGGAATGGAGGTGCTGGCAGGGTGGCAGTGCATTCCCTCCAAAATATTTTGCTCTGTTTCTCTTCCATGTGGCTGTTTTTCTGTATTCATACTTTTGGGTTTTGTTGTAAATTTTTTTTTTATTGCTGTTTTTTGCCATGCTGTTGCCGAAAGCTCGCTCCCTGCCCCCGATGCCAATCCAATAACGAGGGAACGTTTTTGAGAAATAGAAAAAAGAAGGCTTATCGCTTTGCTAGCGAAGGAGAAGCAGGGGATTCCTGTCCCAAAGGCTGTGATTCTGTCCATCAGCAGGAACAGGGGCTTTAAAATAGGTGACTCAAAGGCTACCTTCCACATGTTCTCTGCTGGAGTTGTGATTCACTTGTTAATTTGGGAGATGGTCATTTCTGAGACCTGCTGGTACCTCCCCAAAGTATGGATTACCTCCTTCCTATTATGGTGAGTGTGTACTCTGGGACTGATAACTCTGCCTACAGTGGGGGAGAAAGATAATCCTGTTTCCCTGGAGATTAGGAGGGGGGAAAATTATGAAGGAGCAGGGAGAGGGGAAGAGAAAGAAACCTGTCCATTTTAAAAGTAAATTGTAGTGGCAGAGCAGCAAGGGTTATATTCAAAGCATAAAGTAGACCACTGTTATAAGGCTGGGGCTTGAACCCAGGGTTTCACAAGTGCAAGTACTTTACTATTAAGCTTCTTCCCCAGCCCTTCATCTCTGTCCTTTATAATATTCTTTATAGCAGACGGATAAGTATATTTCCTTGAGTTCAGTGACCAGTCTTGTGGGACTGAGCTCTTCAGATGTGGCATCTGAACTCTTAAATTCAGGTAGATAGTGTCAGAATTGTGTTGGATTTAAGGACATCCGGTTAATGTCCAATAGAGAATTGCTGGTGGGAGAATATTCCCACAAACATCTGAACATACAAGGTGGTCTGTGCAGAGTGATTTTTTTTTTAAAAAAACAAGAAATGTTAATAAACATTAAAAAAAAAAAACAACACCAGATTTGTTTTTCCAAAGGAAATGTTGGGTGCAGCACTGAGAGAAATTAGAAAAAACCAAACTGGGTGTGGTTAAAGTAGAGGTGGAGGTCCTGTTGTTTTTTGAACAATTGGAAAAAACAGTCCACTTTCCTCACTTTACAGATGATATCAAGATCCAGAAAAGTTAAGATAGGTATATTTTTCACCAAATCCTATGTAAGCTTTGAGAGGAGCAGTTTTGTCTGTCTCTTGTTCTTTGCTTTATGTTCAGGGTCAGAAATAGTACTGAAAAACAGCAAGTTGTAGTTAGTCCTTAAACATTGGTAAATTGAAGTCCAGTTCTCTTAATTTCAAGTCCAGATCCCTTTCTATTAGTAGATTCTAAGGAGTTTGTTTTTAAAAACTTTGACATTGTTTGGGAAGGGTAAGGAACAGAGAGGCAGAAAACTGAATCTTTATTGCCACTTTTACTTTTTCTCTAAGTGGAACTACTCATATGCTTTTCCCCAACTTGTTTGAAGACATGGTTTGACTTCATTGAGTCTGTGAAATCTTTTCTGTTGAGCCTCCTTCCTTAGATTTTTATATTTCTACTCTTCAGTTTTTCATAGAGCAGCATACAGACTTTTAGAATTATTTGTATTTTCTACATGAAGTATTAGTTGAGTATTTTTCATCTTTTATTCTGCCTTGTGAAATTTCTTCCAAAGATGAATCCTCAAACATAGGAAGATTAAGTGAGGAAAAACTTG